CCCTTCACCCCCTGTGTCCTGTCCCCAGCCCCCCTCTCCTGGTAACCACTGAACTGTGCTCTTTGTCCATGTGTTTATTTATCTTCCACATATGAGTGAAGTCATATGGTGTTTGTCTTTCTCAGTCTGGCTTATTTTGCTTAACATAATACCCTCCAGGTCCATCCATGTTGTTGCAAATGGGATGATTTTGGTTTTTTTATGGCTGAGTAGTATTCCATTGCATATATATACCACATCTTTATCCAATCATTGGTTGATGGGCACCTGGATTGTTTCCATGTCTTGGCTATTGTGAATAGTGCTGCAGTGAACATAGGGGTGCATATGTTACCTTGGATTGTTGATTTCAAGTTGTTTGGGTAGATACCCAGTAGTGGGATGGCTGGGTCATATGGTAGTTCCATTTTTAGTTTTTTGAGGAATCTCCGTACTGTTTTCCATAGTGGCTGCACCAGTGTGCATTCTCACCAGCAGTGTATGAGGGTTCTCTTTGCTCCACACCCTCTCCAACATTTGTTATTTTTAGTCTTAGTGATTATAGCCATTTTAACAGGTATAAGATGGTATCTTAGTGTAGTTTCAATTTGCATTTCCCCGATGATCAGTGATGTTGAACATCTTTTCACGTGTGTATTGACCATCTGTATATCTTCTTTTGAAAAATGTTCATATCCTCTGCCCATTTTTTAATTGGGCTGTTTTTTTGTTGTTGTTCAGTTGTGTGAGTTCTTTATATATTATGGAGATTAATCCCTTGTTGGATATATGATTTGCAAATATTTTCTCCCAGTTGATGAGTTGTCTTTTTGTTTTGATCCTAGTTTCTTTTGGCTTGCAGAAGCTCTTTAGTCTGATGAAGTCCCACTTGTTTATTTTTTCTTTTGTTCCCCTTGTCTGAGAAGACATGGTATTCGAAAAGATCCTTTAAAGTTCGATGTCAAAGAGCGTACTATCTATATTATCTTCCAGGAGTTTTATGGTTTCAGGACTTGTCTTCAAGTCTTTGGTCTATTTTTGCACATGGGGAAAGATAATGGTCTACTTTCATTCTTTTGCATGCGGCTGTCCAGTTTTCCCAACACCACTTATTGAAGAGACTATCTTTTCTCCATTGTATGTTCTTAGCTCCTCTGTTGAAGATTAGCTGTCCGTAGATGTGAGATTTTATTTCTGGGCTTTCAATTCTGTTCCATTGATCTGTGTGTGTGTTTTTGTACCAGTACCACGCCATTTTGATTACTGTAGCTTTGTAGTACTCTTTGCAGTCGGGGATTGTGATGCCTCCAGCTTTGTTCTTTTTTCTCGGGACTGCCTTAGCAATTCGGGGTCTTTGGTCGCCAGAATGAAATCCTTTTCACAGGGGGCTACAGGAAGTCCCTTGTGAAACACTAACTCTGCCTGGATTGAACGTTTCATAAATTCAGACTTAGGTCCACGGGAGCTCCCTTGAAGCTGGGTTAATGGGGGAGAAGGGCTGGGGTGGGAGAGGCTTTTGCTAGTTGGGGGCATGAAGCTCCTCTGAAAGACCTTGGGCAGCAGAACCACGGGGACAGGGGCTGGCTGGGACTGGGTGCCCAGCTGCATCAGGAGGGGTGCCGAGTGCCAGGCCTGGGGGCACTTCCCCCCCATCCCCATCCCCCTCCACCTCCTTCCCCAGCTCCCCACCTCAGCTCCCAGGCAAAAACCTAGAGCAGGGATGGTGTCCCAGGCAGGCTGTGGGCCCGTCAACAGAACAGTGGAGGGCCCGGCACCCAGTGGGGAGTGAATGATTGAATGAACTGTGTCCCTCGGCTAGGGACCTGCTGCCCTTTCTTATATTGTCTTCTGTCTTCCCGGAAGTGGTGGAGGGGGTTGGTGGAAGGTGGAGACGGTGCCAGAAGCTGGACAAGTTCACAGCCAGGCCAGTGGTTTCGCTTCTCTGGACGTGAGCGGGCAGGCATCTGGGATGGGAGCCTGGTGACAGATGATGGGTTTACCAGGCGCAGGCACATTCCTGCCCTGCGCGGGTCAGTCTCCAGGCCCCTCAAGCTTAGCCGGATTTAGCTGCTGATCCCTGCAGGGCAATGGGAGTTGACACCATACCCCCCAAACTGGGCCACAGGGCCCAAGAGGCCTATCTCAGGCTCCCTGGCCCCGGGAGAGTGGCCTAGCCCAGTCCAGGAGCCTGTGGAGCCCCACCCTCCCACCTTCTCTGGGTCCCCAGCAGAGAGGGCAGGAAGAGCTCAGCTTGCTACAAGGAGGAGGCCCCAGTGCACAGACGCATGGACTTTGTGTAAGTTATTTATCAACAAAGAAACACACACTCCCACACACCCTGGACTCCGAATCTTCCCAGGAACTCATTCTTTGGGAAGTGAGTTGCACCTACAACCAGTGGACACCACTATTTACCTGCCCGGAGTCTCTTTTGGAGACTGTCCTCACCAAATGGAGCTCTTGGGGACAGCGCCTGGGGCCATGGGTGATGACAGTGACGTGCTTGTGGAGTGGGATGTGGCCCTGCCCAGGAGGCACCTGTGCTGGTTTGCAGAGACCTGAGCTCTTACCTGATTCCACACCTGTGCACGCCTAGCTGACAGGTGTTTCCCACCCGGGTTACCTGGGGGCTCCTTCATCCCTGGAGAAAGCATTGGAGCTCATCCCACGATGTGGGGCACATTCCCCACCCCACCACCAGGCATGAGAAAGGAGGGCTGCTCAGCCAGCAGGAAAAGGTGGGAACCCCCATTCCTAGGGGGAGGCAGGGCTGGCCAGAGTCTTGCCTGGGCACCCCCACACCCACAAACCACCAAGCTGGGGACCCAGGAGCCCCAGGGCCACGCTCACAGGCAGGTTTATCCATTGGAATTCCAGACGGATGATGCTCCCAGCAGGAAGCAAGTCTGCCAATGGCCAGCAGCCAGGAGCTCCAGACTCTCGCCTTTCCAGGAGGGCTGAGTGCCCAGGCCCATGCCAGGGACAGGGGGCCAGTTCTCCTGGGACTGGCCCAGGCCCTAGAGGGAAGCCTGTGCCCTGAGTTGCCCAGGGCAGGCCCACAGGCTGGACGGCTCTGTCCTGCACCTCTCCCCACCTGCAGCTGTGGAGACCGAGGCAGGGTGAACCTGGGTGGTGAGTGGGGTCAGAGTGGGGAGTAGCTTCTGGTGGCTGGCGGCCTGGGGGCTCTGGTCTAGTGTTCCAGCCCCTCTCTGCCCTCCCTCTAGGCGAGCACACCACCAGGCTATCTCTTTTACTAAATTCTCTTATTCCTGTTTCAGAGTTGAGGAACTGGGACTCGAGGGGCTGCTCAGGTCACATGAGACCCATAGGCAGGGGTCGAGCAGGAAGCACTGGGTGCCCCTCAGCTCAGTGGGTCGTGGCCACCCTTTGCCCTCCGTGGCCTCAGACACAACGAGCATGATTGAAAGCCCAGAGCCTGTGTCTCAACCCAAAACTATGTGTCAGTGTGAACTCCGAGGCTGCCGGGCGTGGCCCCTCTGTGCTGGCCGCCCTGCTGAGATTTCTCCCCAGGAGCTGGGGAGAGCCAGGGCTGGGCCTGGGGCCTGATGGGGGCGGGGGGCACCTCTGTCTCTGCTCTCAGCTTTCCAACCCCCCATCCTGCCCCTCCCCGCATCTCTCCCTCCTCCCCCTAGCCCAGGGCAGCTGGGTGGAGCTCAGCTGGACCCTGTGTGCCCCACTGGCGGGCAGGGGGCAGCAGGCGGCTGGCAGCCAGGAGCCTTCCCTGCAGGGGATGTGGCTGGGAGGTGGCCCTGGGGTAAGTGACTTTAGGGGTTGGGGGAAGAGTGCCTGAGCTGACAGCAAGGTTGGGGCGCTAGATGGGGTCTTGTGGGTGGGTCCTGACCGGGGCTGAGGGGTCTGGGCTCCCCTCTGAGGGGCTTGGTGCCTGAAGCCCCTGAACACGCGTGTCTGAGCCAGGCCCCGGCTCCGCCCTGGGAGGAAAGACCACAACCTGGATGAGAGGCCTTAGCAATGGCTCTAGGGGGTGGGAAGGGCGTAGGGGGCGGGGGGCTGATGGGGACAACTGACCCACTCCACATTGGCCGCTTAGAGACAGGCACAGGAGAGGGCCCACTGCACTGCCCCCCCTCACTGCCATGTCCCCCTCATGTCACAAGCCCTGCCAGCCCCCAGAGCCCCCACAGGTAAGGGCGGGCCAGGGACCCCGGGCAGGGGGCAGCAGGTGTAAACAAGTGGCCCACTTCTTCCTGGGGATGAAGCTTTGGTCCAAGGACCACCCTGGGGGTGTGGAGACCCTGGACAGTGCCCGCCTCCCCTATTCCCCTCCCTCTCCCCTCCTCTTCCCCGTGCACTGGAATTTTCAGGAGCGCGGGAGGAGGCAAGTGAAGGCCCCCAGGTCCCCGCAACCCAGGGACAGCCAGCAGGGGCAGGAGCTCAAGCCAGTAACCGGTCAGCTGTGTGACCGCAACAGGCTTCTGAGCCCCCGCCTCTCATGTCCACCGGGCTGGGGGTGGTAGCCACGACCCCCATGATGCAGGGTGGAGAGGAGCCTGCACTGGGGAAGGCGCCTCCCAGAGCCCCAGCCCTCCCAGGGCCCCCACCGGCCTGCGCAGGAATGGGGGACCGACCGCACCCCAGCTCCACTGTCTGCTTGGCCTCTAAGGTACTAAGACGGAGGAAATATCAAGGTGGGGCCTTGAGATCTGCGGGGGACAGAGCTCAGGCATCGTCCTGGTCACCTGGCCGCAGACTCTCCTGGCCACTCCACGGGGCACAGCGTGCTGGCCGGCGGGGACATCTAGGCCCCCTCAGTGTGGAGGGGCTGGCAGGACAGTAAACAGGAGCCTGCAGGGCCCCTTCCGGGGAGGAATGGGGGTCCATACAAAGTGAGTTGAGGGCTGGCCACGGCCCTACACTTGGTCCTGAGACATCAAGATCAGGAAGCAGAACTCCGGTCTTTCCAGCGTCAATGGGTGGAGAAGCCCTGGGATGGGACTGGGTGTGCCCGGGGCCAGAAGGGGAAGTGAGCGTTGGTCCACTGGTGCTCTCTCCTCCTTGGCCTCAATTTATTTCTACTTTGTCTGTCTTACCACTTTGTGGATGCTCCCCAGATTATACATACAGTTTGGGGGACAAACTCTTGCTGCCCCCACCTGCCCCTCTAACCGCCTTCTCAGCTCCAAGCTCTGCCGGGGGGCACTTGCAGATGCCTGAGTCGGGTGTGACTGGCTTGGTTTCCAGAAGATGCTGTGTCAGACAGGACTCGCATCGCTGGTGTCTTTGGTCCTGGGCCCCAGTCTGCCTCCCAGAGCCACGCTCTCTCCAGAACCTTCTCCAGAGCTGTCATGATTGCAGATTCTGCCTCCCTGAGTGGAGGCTGCTGGCCCCACATGGCATCGTCCACATTCAAGCCGATGTTCAATGGGCCAGGTGGTCTCTGAATTCAGATGAGGCCAGGAGAATGACTCTTCAGTGTGTTCACAAACGGGACTTTCCACCTGGGGCACGGGGATCCCATCCTGAGGAAGGAGGGGTGTCGGCTCGCTGCCAGCTTCCAGGCCCCTGTCGCCAAGCGCACATCAAAGCAAGCACGCGGGTGCTCGGGGAGGAAAGCCAATTTCCTTAATTTACTCATGGACGAAAAATGATTGAAACCACAGAGGAAATGATTCGAAATTGAAACAGCAAATCAAAGTCCAGGATGATTTGTAAGGCACCTTGTTCAATGGAAATGGGCTGAAATGGGAGGGACTGGGGCGTATGCTCAGGGAGGGTGCCGTGGACCGCGCGGCTACGTGAGCACTGGGTCTGCGATGCCGTGGTCGGGGTTGCAGGTGAAGGCGATGGTGACGGCGTAGCGGGTACCCCAGAGGACCTTCTCCACCCGGTGCAGGTTCTCAGACCCTGAGGTGAAGAAGGACACCCGACCTGGGAGAGAAGGAGAGACAAGTGAGCACAGAGGCGGCACACACGGCCATGGGCTTCAGAGGACCTGCCGTTCAGGCGGCCCCAACACAACAGTCGTAACAAATCAACACCACCAACCAGGAGAGCTGGAGCACTCACCCGCTCCAGGAAGGGCAGAGGCAGGAAGCGGGAGGAGGTCGGGGAGAAAGACCAGCAGCACCTAGAGCGCCAGCAGGCGAGCCCTCCACGTGGGATGAGGGCACCCCCGCCCCGCCCCAGGGGCTCCGTGGTGGGGAGAGCCCAGATTGGGGACCAGGTCCTGTGCGCCTGCCAGGGTGCCCTGACAGCCTCGTCATCTCCCCGGGCCCGCCTCTCACAGCCTTTCAGGTCCGACATTAGGATCGTACTTCTAATCACATGCGAACGAAACGAAACCCGGAGAGTGAAGACAATGCTTTAACGGGGTCAGGAAGGACAAGTGAAGACGAGACCCGGAGAGTGAAGACAATGCTTTAACGGGGTCAGGAAGGACAAGTGAAGACGAGACCCGGAGAGTGAAGACAATGCTTTAACGGGGTCAGGAAGGACAAGTGAAGACGAAACCCGGAGAGTGAAGACAATGCTTTAACGGGGTCAGGAAGGACAAGTGAAGACGAAACCCGGAGAGTGAAGACAATGCTTTAACGGGGTCAGGAAGGACAAGTGAAGACGAGACCCGGAGAGTGAAGACAATGCTTTAACGGGGTCAGGAAGGACAAGTGAAGACGAAACCCGGAGAGTGAAGACAATGCTTTAACGGGGTCAGGAAGGACAAGTGAAGACGAAACCCGGAGAGTGAAGACAATGCTTTAACGGGGTCAGGAAGGACAAGTGAAGACGAAACCCGGAGAGTGAAGACAATGCTTTAACGGGGTCAGGAAGGACAAGTGAAGAGGAGATGCTGGAGGAGCAGAGACAGAAGACAACTCGGGAGGAGCTCCGAGAGTCCACGCTGCTTTCAGAGAACTCCGCGTCTCCGCCTCAGGATTTAACTGGCCTCACACAGGCCACTGTAGAAGTCTTTACGACAAGTGAGTTGACGTCACAAAGTCGTCAGGGATGAGGAGCCCAGGGTCCAGAGACTCCACGTTCCCGCCATGCGGCCTGGCTCCAAACCACCTTGTGTGGCCGTTTCACTTCCCCTCAAAAGTCACTGCCAGGAACTCCATTGCTTCCTCGCCTGTTTGTGACTTGACTCTAAACCTCTGGAAAGGAGTAAAGTCCGCCCCAGACGTGCGCTGCTTCCTGGTTGCCACAGAGAACCGCACCCCACCCAGAAACTGTGACACCACGGACACCTCTGGGTGTGGGCCGGGGACTCCCGGGACCTGACGTGGCAGCTGCGCCCTCCTCCAGGCCAGCTGGCTGCCCGGCAGGAAGGAGACGCTTCCCCAGAGAAATCTGGACTCACAGTGCCTTCCGAGGGTTATGTTTCTAAGACACTTTGTCCTCAGTTCCTTCCAGGTTTAGTCCAACCTGAGACATGGCACAAGCGGCCAGGCCCATCTGCACAGAGAGGCCAGAGGAGAGAAATCTCAGGGCAGAAGAAGATGACCTGAAGAAGTAATGACCAAAACTTTGCCCAACGTGATGAAAAACTTTGACTTTTCCATCCAATAAACTTAGCAAACCCCAAGTGGGATAAATACAAATAGATCCACATGGATGCGCGTCAGAGTCAAACTGATGAAACGAAAAGGTGAGTCTGGAGGCAGCAGAGAAAAGGCACCTGAGAAAAAGCTGTGATGCAGATCTCACCTCCTCAAGAGTGGAACCAAGCAAAGCAGGCCCATTTCTTTTTTTCTTTTTTGAGGAAGATTAGCCCTGAGCTAACATCTGCTGCCAATCCTCCTCTTTCTTTTATTCTTTTTTTGCTGAGGAAGACTGGCCCTGAGCGAACACCCATGCCCGTCTTCCTCTACTTTATATGTGGGACTCCTGGCATAGCATGGCGTGACAAGCGATGCCTGTGTCAGCATCCAGGATGCAAACTGGCGAACCCTGGGCCGCTGAAGCAGAACGTGAGAGCTTAATCACTGTGCCACCGGGCCAGCCCCAGCAGGCCCATTTATAAAGAGAAAGGAAAGTCCCATCACTCCAGAATTCATAGCCAGTGACAATATCCTTTACAAAAGGTACAACGAGGACATTTTCAGAGACATCATCGCCAGCACTGCAAGAAACGCTAAAGGCTGAAGAGAAATGATAGCTGGTGGAGACCTAGTCTACAGGAAGGAGGGAGAGCACCAGAGAGAATAAGTAAGCGGGAAAATACAACACATTGTGGGTAATTTCCACAAGAGATAATAAACTATTTACAGAAAAATGACAGCTATTTAACATATCCTTATTTGTTGGTGAGCCGCGTGCATCGCCCTCCCTGGGCCAAAGGCCACGCTCCCGGTGATGTGCAGTGACGGACGTGCCTTACTGAACCCCGGGGCTGGGATTGGACAGGCTGATGTCACTAAATGACATCACTGACTCACCTTTTGTCTACTTGGTATGCAAATTCTCTGACCCAAGCAAACCTGTACAGAAAAGGCCAGCACAGGCTCTACAATTTTCCCTACGGCCCTTTCTTATTTTTAATGAACCAGCAATTAAGCTCTCCACCTAAGTCTGACAGCTCAAAAGCCCACAGTAATTAAAATAGTGATAGGTACTACAGCAATGCCCTGGAGGAGCCCAGTGGCACAGAAATGATCAGCCGATGGGAGGAAATCGCCCCAAGCAGGGACAGCAGGCCAGCTCTGGGAACCCGCCCCCACAGGTGAAAGCAAAGACAGGCTTGTAGTTTTACTGAGGCCGTTGACTGTCTAATGGTACAGTAGCCCCCAGCTCCACAACCAGGAAACATTTCAGTGTTCAGAAAAAGGTGCTTTGTGGCTTCTTATTTTCTTTAGGAAACAACTATTAGCTTATCATCCACTTCCTTAAAGTGTCGGCACCAGTGGAAGAGTAAGGAGCACGTGGTGCTGGGACTCAGCACCAGGGCCGGGGAGGAGTGCCGAGCAGGAGACGCCGAGGGAGCAGAACCCCTGACCAGCAGACGGCATCTGGACTCAACAGAAGCCCCTGAAACCAACTCCACCATTTCCGTGAATGTAGCCCATTTTTATGAAGTTAGAGAAACACAAATGGATTTCAATATCTTTATAAAATACAATACACACTTGTGCTTGGATTTCTGAAAATTTCTGAAGTTAGTGTCAGGAGCGTCCAAAGTCGGTCACGTGTCGACATCTTAGCAGGTGAAGTCAGAAACGAAGGTGAAGCTCAGCTGCAGGCAGCGCTGAGACCGAGTCCTGACCATCAAACACCCGCTGGACACGCACCAGCCCTGAGGACTCAGACCGTCCCTTCTGCCCGAGCTCCCAGGGAGGTGGCCCGACGGCTCAGGTCAGCCCCAGATGGGGTGCCCAGGTCTCACTCACCCCCAGTCTCCTCCAATCCCATTTTCCAGAGCAGCAGCGATGCCAGGCCCCATCACCATCCCCACTCGGCCTCCGTGGAGGGGTCCTTTACACCGCCGGGGGGACCAGCACTGCTTCCTCAGACCCCATCCCACACCATGGACTCCAGCCCTCGCACCCTGCACACAGTGCTCTGCCCCCCAGGCTCTTGATCTGCTAGCCACAGGGTGGGGCCCAAGGTCTTCTCCAACCCGCCTACCCCAACACTCACAGCTGCAGGGTCAAGGCCCCTCCAGCTGCTGACCTGCGCCAGGCTGCACCCCTCCTGCACTCACCCCACTGATGGAGGGGAGGACCCCTGGACTGTTTAATTTCCTTTCTATGCCTTTCCATTTCCAAGCTACTTTCACGTCTGACTGAGGGCTACTCGAGGAGCAGTCTGGACCCACTGTGAAGGAGTGCCCCACGGCCCATGAGAACATTCTGAACCAAGGCAAGTGACAGCCTCGCTCTCTGACTTGGCCGCCACTAGGCGGGAGCAGATGCCAGCTCCATGGCCAGTAAGCAGGTGAGGGTGATGCCATGGGGACAGGTGAGACACGGCAGCAGGTGAAGCAGCAGTGTAGTCTGAGGTGCTCAGGTGGGAGCCAAGTGGCTGGGCTCTGTCTGTGAGTCCCAGCTGCGGCTGGTCCGAGGCCTGGGCTACCCCTCAGGAAGCCCCCCGGGAGACCCCTTGTCTCCCCATCCCTCCCCCAGGACCTGGACTTACCTTCCCCAAAAGTTCAAGAAGGGAGGGAACAATTCATTGACTCAACACGTGCTTAGTGGGCAGTGCAGAGTGTCCGCACTGTCCTGGGGGCAGCAGAGGCTCTGGGACTACGAGGTCCAGGGAGGCAGGCCCTGCTGCTCAGTGTGGCTATGGGCATTATTAGGTTGGGAGCATCACCTCATCTGAAGCTGCTGAGTCCCTCTGGGAAGGGACAGGGCAGGGACCCACTGCAGGGGACGGTGGTGGGACCACCTGCACACAGGGCGTGGGCCAGGCTCTGGGACACGCTCTGCTGTGACGCAGTGAGTGAGCACAGTCAAGCCCGCCTCCCCTTCTGAGGAATGGGCCTCCTGGGTGTCGCGGGTGGATCCAGGCAGCCGCTGGCCGCCTGACACACAGCAGGCGCTCCATAAATGCAGCATCGCTCCCTTGAACCCCGCCCCACAGCCCCAGGGCCACCACCTGCGTGTCCTACCGGCTCTGGGCTCCACTGTCTTGTTGGCCCCCTCCTCCATGAACATAAACCGCCCCCCGCCGAAGTCATCCAGGTAGTCGGAGAGGTACAGCAGCGAGGTGTAGTCAAAGGAGCCATAGGTCACCTGCGGGCAAGGAGCAGGGGAGCGCGTCACCCTTCAGAGTAAACGACATGTGTGGGCCTCGTAAATCAGCCACTCGGGGCCTTCACAACATCAGAAAAACCTCTGTCGAGCCCACATCATGCTTTCTGCCGGGGCTCCCACACAGCTCAAAGGCCGAGCAGCCATGTTCCCACACAGGTGGCAAGCGCAGGGCGTGCGCAGAAGAGTCCGCTGGGGTGATTCTCTGGACAGTGGCTGAGCCACCTGCTCACCAGCAGGCCCGCCTCCCATGTCAGTGCACGGAACAAGCCGCAATGACAAGTGCGTCCGCTGTCTTCAGATGTGGGGCGACCTCAAGCTTTTTAAAAATTGTGGTAAAACACACATACCATACAATTTACCATCTGAACTGTTTTCAAGTAATTTTTTTTAAAGATTGGCACCTGAGCTAACAACTGTTGCCAATCTTTTTCTTCTTCTTCTTCTTCTCCCCAAAGCCCCCAGTACATAGTTGATTATTCTAGTTATGAGTGCCTCTGGTTGTGGCATGTGGGACGCCGCCTCAGCATGGCCTGACAAGCAGTGCCATGTCCACGCCCAGGATCCGAACCAGCGAAACCCTGGGCTGCTGAAGTGGAGAGCATGAACTTAACCACTCGACCACGGGGCTGGCCCGTCTTAACCGTTTTTGAGTGTGCAGCTCAGCAGCCTTAGGTCCATTCACACTGTCTTGCAGCTGCCCCAACCTTTCATCTCCAGGACTCTTCATCTGCCCAAACTGAATCTCGGTCCCCATGAAACAACAACTCCCATCCTCTCCCCGAGTCCCTGGTCCCCCATCCTACTTTCTGTCTCTGAGTGTGACTCCCCCAGGGACCTCACACCCTGGAGTCCTACAGTATCTGTCCTTTGTGTCTCTGAGTGTGACTCCCCCAGGGACCTCACACCCTGGAGTCCTACAGTATCTGTCCTTTGTGTCTCTGAGTGTGACTCCCCCAGGGACCTCACACCCTGGAGTCCTACAGTATCTGTCCTTTGTGTCTGGCGCTCTCTGTGAGGACGTTCTTTTGGAAAACCATGTGGGCAGTGCAGAGCAGCAGGCGAGCGATGGGGTCTGGGTTCTGGGCTCACGTTAGCATGGACCCTCTGGCCATCGACCCCCTGGGCCCAGTGAGGAGCGTAAACGGGAGGCGGCTGTGGTCTCTTTCCTACGGACCCTTGAGGTCATTTCACAGCTTCATCTGCAGGCCTCAGGACTTACTGCAGGTCAGGGCACCACAGCAAGGTGTTTTCAATGCAAGATTCTTAAGGTTTGGTTTAAAATCTCATTTAGATTTCTGAAGTGGACTTGACAGTCTATACCAGTCCTCGACTCCTGCTTCTAAGCTATTGGATTTAGAAATATCGACTCTTAAATGATTTTATTGACACCTGTAGGCATCATGGGAATAGGAGACAGAAGCCCCAGACCAATCTCACGTGACACCTTTGATCAAGGCTCAGAAAGTGCAAAGCTCTTCACCCCCCCGGCAATCATCTATACCCTCTGTCACCATCACAATGGTCATCTCCTGACAGGAGCGGGGCTGACCAGGAGGGAGGGGAGCAAGCCTGCCAAGGTGACCGAGACCCACGTGGCCTCGGTCCATGCCCATCACCTTCTCGTAAATGGTACCGTGTGACGCCCCACGTCACCTGTGGGGCTGGACTCTTTCTACAAGACCTGGGCTCAGCCCCATGTCCCCCACCAAGACCCCATCTTGGGCCCCCTCATCCAGCATCAGTTCACCAAACACCAAAGTGACGTGAATCTGCGAACCACTCGGGGCAGTGCTTCTCAAACAGCTTCAGCAGTGACCTCACATCCATCGAAACCATACGTGAGCCGCAAAAAACATAAAAGGGGGGTCCCAGAGCCTCTCTCCTACCCACCGCCCCCCCCTCAGATACTTCAAAGGAATTCGACAAAGACCAGTGCCCTGGGGGAGCGGGCAGTCGGGAGGCAAGTGAATGCAGGTGGTCAGGTCAACGAACACAGGTGGGGTGACCAGGACAGCAAAGGCCCTCAGGGTTCTGCCTGGCATCTGTTCCCAAGGTGGCGGCTGGAGAGCTTTGCAGATGAGGAGCGGATGCCACTCCTGGGGTTCTGAGGACATCTTCTTGCACGTCCACCCCATGGCTGGACAGGCTGCCCTGGGTCCTGCAGGCCACCCCGTGGCCTCCCGGCTCTGAGCATCACTCTGGGGATATCTGAGGCTGCCTGATTGCCACTGTTGACTCCTTTCCCTGCCTGAAGAGATCTTCCTTACCTTTGAAGTTTGATGGCTACGTTCAGTGTTGTTTCTCCTGAACCGAATCCTCCTGGTGCACAGAGGGCCGCTCTTCCTTTGTTGCAGGAGCTTCTCCAGAGCTCCATCCACATGCGGCGCTCCCTTCTCCGCACACTGGGCATACCTATCTGTGCTCCACACACCTCTCTGCCCTCAGTCTGTAATACCTTGTTTTTTCCTCTGCAGTGTCTACAATTACCTTCCACCAAAGGTCTCACCCTGGTCCCCTAATGAAATAATGGATCCAGGTGATGGTTCTCAATGGATCAATGGCTGCTCAGGCCATGAGGTGAGAGCAGATGGGGACCTTGATCATGGATGGATCGGGCTGACATCTGAACCTGATGATTAATCCCTAAGCCCCCAGGACAGGGGAACAGAGGCTGTGTGCCCCCAGGTGATGCTGGAAGTCCCACACCCCCAACCTGAATCTGGCCAAGCCCCCTGAACCGCACTGGCCCACACGGGAGCCACTGGCCACATACGGCTACGTCAGTTTAAGTTAACTCAAATTAACTATATTTTGGGTTCCTCATTCAACTCCTCACCGGCCACATGTGGCCCCTCCTCCATCAAGCTCAGTCGGTCAAGATTAAACAAACACGGGAAGGTCTGACCAGATTTCAGAGCAGAAGCCTCAGCTGCAAGCTGCCGTCCACACCTGCTCTTATTGCTACTCCAAACAGATCTGCTGATTTCTCACCTCGCCTCCTTTTGTTCAAGCCTCAGAGACAGAAGGGATCGACCTGGTCCCCGAGCACGCGCAGCTGGGGCGACCGCCGACAGCCCTCAGATGCTTCCCACAGCACATCTCCCTGGGCGCCACACGGGGGCGCTGGCGAGCCAAAGCAGGAAGTGGTTGCAGTACAGGGGAGAGGCTTCAGTGGGGACTGATCGAGATCATCGATTAGAGGGGGAGAGGCTTCAATCGGGACTGATCGAGATCATCGATTAGAGGGGGAGAGGCTTCAGTCGGGACTGATCGAGATCATCGATTAGAGGAGGAGAGGCTTCAATCGGGACTGATCGAGATCATCAATTACAGGGGGAGAAGCTGCAGTCGAGACTCATCGAGATCATCAATCAGACGGGGAGAGGCTTCAGTCAGGACTGATCAAGATCATCGATTAGAGGGGGAGAGGCTTCAATCGGGACTGATCGAGATCATCGATTAGAGGGGGAGAGGCTTCAATCGGGACTGATTGAGATCATCGATTAGAGGGGGAGAGGCTTCAATCAGGACTGATCGAGATCATCGATTAGAGGGGGAGAGGCTTCAATCAGGACTGATCGAGATCATCGATTAGAGGGGGAGAGGCTTCAATCGGGACTGATCGAGATCATCAATTACAGGGGGAGAAGCTGCAGTCGAGACTCATCGAGATCATCAATCAGACGGGGAGAGGCTTCAGTCAGGACTGATCAAGATCATCGATTAGAGGGGAGAGGCTTCAGTCGGGACTGATCGAGATCATCGATTAGAGGGGGAGAGGCTTCAATCGGGACTGATCGAGATCATCAATTACAGGGGGAGAAGCTGCAGTCGAGACTCATCGAGATCATCAATCAGACGGGGAGAGGCTTCAGTCAGGACTGATCAAGATCATCGATTAGAGGGGGAGAGGCTTCAATCGGGACTGATCGAGATCATCAATCAGACGGGGAGAGGCTTCAGTGGGGACTGATCAAGATCATCAATCAGACGGGGAGAGGCTTCAGTCGGGACTGATCAAGATCATCAATCAGACGGGGAGAAGCTGCAGTCGAGACTCATCAAGATCATTGATTAGACGGGGAGAGGCTTCAGTCGGGACTGATCAAGATCATCAATTAGACGGGGAGAGGCTTCAGTCGGGACTGATCAAGATCATCAATTACAGGGGGAGAGGCTTCAGTCGGGACTCATCAAGATCATCAATCAGACGGGGAGAAGCTGCAGTCGAGACTCATCAAGATCATCAATTAGACGGGGAGAGGCTTCAGTCGAGACTCATCAAGATCATCAATCAGACGGGGCGAGGCTTCAGTCGGGACTGATCAAGATCATCAATTAGACGGGGAGAGGCTTCAGTCGGGACTGATCAAGATCATCAATTACAGGGGGAGAGGCTGCAGTCAAGACTTATCAAGATCATCAATTAGACGGGGCGAGGCTGCAGTCGGGACTGATCAAGATCATCAATTAGACGGGGAGAGGCTGCAGTCGGGACTCATCAAGACCATCGATTAGACAGGGAGCAGCTTCAGTCGGGACTGATCAAGATCATCAATTAGACGGGGAGAGGCTGCAGTCGGGACTCATCAAGACCATCGATTAGAGGGGGAGAGGCTGCAGTCGAGACTCATCAAGATCATCAATCAGACGGGGAGAGGCTGCAGTCGAGACTCATCAAGATCATCAATCAGACGGGGAGAGGCTGCAGTCGGGACTGATCAAGATCATCAATTAGACGGGGAGAGGCTGCAGTCGAGACTCATCAAGATCATTGATTAGAGGGGGAGAGGCTTCAGTCGGGACTAATCAACATCATCGATTAGACAGAGAGCAGCTTCAGTCGGGACTGATCAAGATCACTGATTAGGTGTGACTGTGACTAAAGAAGAACAAAAGATGAAAGAGGGAAATGCAGACAGTCCCGTTGGTCAAGAGATCTTTCCGTGAAAAGTGGGGAGAAGGAGGGCCTCCCAGAGGATGTAGGCCCACGGGGAGACCACCTGGCGGCTGTGTGGACGACAGAAAGGGGGGTCCAGTGACACCTGGTGAAGCTCACAGCTTGGGTGGAGACAGTCTGTGCATTTGTGAACAAGCAACAAAGGATGGGAACTGACCCCACACTTCTTCGGAACGTGCATTTCACTATCTTTTCTTGTCACCATCACAAGAAACACATTTTATTTCCTCAACTGTGTCAACTAGATTTAGTGTGCACCCCAATCATCAAAGAGAAAGACGTTTAAAATCCTAAAAACAGAAATGCCGAAGAACAGATGCTTGGAAACCCAGACACAGCCGAGCTCGGGCAGCCAGGTGTGCTCCCCCTTCTACTCCTGCTGGGGCCGTGCTGGAGAGTGGGGCTCACCTTGTCCACGTGAGCATGCCAGTACTCGTCGTGAGCCGTCCGCGCTTCCGTGCTATTGATGCGGGAGAAGAACGTGGGCTTTGTCAGGTATAGTGAGGATGCGCTGATGCCAAAAGCCTGGGCGATTGCGAGCTGGACCTTCTGCCGCACATCCCTGCAGAGAGGACACACGCGTCACCTGCAGCAGCATTGCCTCAGAGGAGAGAAGTCTCCACGGATCCCACAGAGCCCACACAGCACTTTGCTACAAAAAGACACGACTGGAGGAAGGTGGAACGACGAACAGACGCGCACACAGCATCCCGCGCATGTGTGATGGGATATCAAGTGCATGACCAAGAACCTGAGGACCAGTTCTTCGTAGGAATGACCACAGCACCAGGCAGCCCGGGGCAGTGTCTGTGGGGACAGACAGGAGCAGCAATACAGGGTACGTGGCACTCCGCACACGGCCCATGCATTCCCAAGCAGCACAGAGAGGCCTGGAAGAGGACCCTGGCCCTGGACTGAGGGCTACACTGTGCATGGTCACAGCCTGACACAGCAGACGGGTGGTGCCCCATGGAGACGCTGGCCCCTCCCTGGCACGTCAGGGGGGCTGAACTCCAAGCCACACATATGCAGCTGTGTGGCAATGTGCTCTAGGGTACAATTTACCACATCAGCATCCACGGTGGGGGCACCAGCCCCTCCCTGGACTGCAGCTACCAGCAGAGCCAGGCTCCATGGAGCTACAGGGAGGCAACTCTTTCTGGGAGGCCAGAAAGCAGGGGAGCTGCTGGACAGGTTAGCCCACATCTATCAGGTGCACACATATAACTACATACCTACCTACATATGTACAGATACACCCATATCTACCTACTATGTACATACATATGGATACACACATACGCCTAAACACACACACACTGACCAACCTACAAATGTACATGCTTACACACATATGTACACAAATATCTACCTACATAAGTCTACCTATGTGTGCACATGCCTACAACACACGTGCACACATACCTGCCTACGTGTGTACATACCTACACACCTGCACCTACATGCGCACATGCCCACACGTGCCTGTACGCATGTATGCATATACTTACCTACATGCATACATATGTACACACACTTACATGCATACTTGGACACACACATATGTGCACACACACCTACCTACAGATGTACATACCCACACATGCACACACACCGACCTGCATGTGTACACACATGTACACACATTCCCACTTGCATGTGTTCATGCCTATACACATATGTACACAATACCTGGTTATATGTGCGGGTACGTGTACATACATGTATACACATGCCTACCTACACATGTACGTACTTACACTCATATGTACACACATAGCTACCTACATGCATACTTGTCTACACACATGTACACACATACCTACCTACATACACAATACAAACCAATATACATCTCATACACATGCACAACACATGCCTGCATGCAAAACTACACCCATGTACATACCTGCCTATGTACACACAACACAGCTACATACACACACACCCCTCTACTTAGAAAGATGTCTGCACACATAAATGTACCTACATATCTGCTCACCTACGGAACATAATAAACTAGGTCCTAAAACCATGTGCCCAGTGGTACAGCCTGAGCACAACAGTACGTGAATCAGTCTAACATTTCCAAACAACTGGCTGATCCTTCGACATGCATGTCACTGGCTAAAGGGTGCCCCCATCCAGGCAAGGGCTCTAGCCGGGGAGGCATCAAACTCTTCTAGGGACCCCCCTCGAAGTCATCTCAGTAAGTGGAAGCTTTATCTTACTGTCAATGATAATGCTCATGGACCTTCTGCTGAACCAACAATTACATTCAAAGTGTTTCCACCCCTTCAGTAGGGTATGAGGTATTACGTTTTCAGTACCTCTTATCAACTAGGTCATAAACATTTTTTATGGGAACATCATTTATTTAGTTGGCTTAATTTTCTTAACCTTTGTTCACCTTCAGGCCTCGAAGCTTTGCAAACAGCATTCAGCCAAGTTTTGGAGTTGAACAAACTGAAAGAATTTAAAAGCTCATGATAGTCTTCCCTTTTTTCATCAAACAACAAACTCTTTTTTTGTATGATGCATTGATAATTAATAGACTCCTTTTGGAATTGATGCTTAGTTTTGCTCCAAATGGCAGACCACCTTTCTACGTGATTTTCTGCTTTCTTTGCTAGCTTCTTCCCTTTACTTCCACAGGGTCAGTGACCCTCACAACTTGTCAAATCCACACCAACTTCACATTTCCATCTGGGAAGTCAAAGAGAGAGCTCTGCTTTTGCTGGATACGCCTGCCTCCCATTTCTCGGTTTCCGTTACAATGACGGCTCCTGTGGGTCCAGTGCGCCAGGGTGCCCACAAGGACAGTCAGCCAGTTTTCACAATTTTGGCTTCTGCCCATCACACTGCACGTTCTCCCCAGTGTTCAGGTGACAAATAGCAACCAAGAAAAAACTGGAAGCAATTTGGTGGTTTCACCTTCTGCGCTATCCAGAAAAAGCCAGAAACAGTAACTTAGAGTCGAATAAAACTATCAGGAAAAGGTCCCGAGTGTTGGCGGTACACTGACCAACCCTACAACAATCCGAGGCGGTTTTCAGGGAATATTTCACACTGAAACGTTGGCCTTGAACATTAGCCTTAAAGCTGATCTCAGACGCAGTTCCTTCCAGCTCCACAAGATTGACAAAGTGGTGTATTTTGCATTTTGTGTGAATTATCAGAATCCTTTCACGGGAGACAGGCACAGCTCCTCTGATGACTGAGATGTCACTGACTTAAGAGTTTCCCCCAAAACTTTGTTCTCTTGTTTCAACAAATACATTTTCTGACAATCTAGACCATAAATGAGATCACACTGACATCCCGTGTTGGGAATAGTCTTGTCTCAAAATGTCCCATGTCTCAAAATGCTCAGTTTTAACTATAGAATACATGATGTTAAAAAAAGATCCTAGTGGTCCTCTCTAAACACAGCCATCTACTTTACAAACACTCTTTGATAATATATTTTTGGAAGTTTTAATTATTTTATTTAACTGTTTATTTTAATTGGTTGATTATTAGTTATTATTTTAATAATCATGTTTTATCATGTGAAACAATAATTATATTTTACTGGTGACGTTCCTTTCATTTTCCCTCTTTGATTATTACAGATCTTTATTGAATCTGAAACTTTATCAGAACATGACGGGCGTCCTGATGGAGTCCGCGTTTAGCGCTTCCACCCTTTACTTGTCCTTTGAGCGCTGTCTGCATCCAGCATTCACACAGCTGGCAATAGTACTCAGGCTTCTTGTTGCAACGGTCAACTTAGTTTTTGCTCCAGAAATACAAACTCTGTTTTGCTCATGCTGCCTTGTGCCACAGGCGTCCCGGGATCTGTGCGAGACCCCCGACAGCCCAGGTTGTGGTTGAGACTGACATCCCTTCCTCTCCGTAGGTTCAGGGGATTCATGTTTATGATACTCAAACAGGACATAAAATCCTCTGTTTTCCCTTCGTTTTGAGTGTTCATTTTTACATTCATAAAGCCTTGAATTCATAAATATCGAAATAGTGCTGCACACTTTCTACTGAACAACCACCACAGTGAAAAAAAATCAACCAGTGAGGCCAGCAGCACTAGTCACAGGGTGATCACAGACCGGGCCCCTAAGCCACCCAGCGCCTGGCTCCAGGGGCCCCGAGGGCGGGTCAGACGTCACTGCCTCACGACACCCAGCACCCAAGGCTGAAACCACTGAGCCACATCAGAGTGTGGCATCAACTGACAGCACCAATTATTGCTGTTGCTACTTGTGCGTAAAGAGCTCATCAAACCTTCTCTCTGGACCAGCAGCTGCTTCACTTTCCAGCTGTTTCCCTGGAAACGTGATAAAGGGGATGCAGCAGCTGTGTTTCCAGGCCACATGGCTAAGGTAAGAATGACCCCTGGTGGTTAGGGATGGAGGACGGGTGCTGTGGTTATAAAAAGGCACCGGGGGTCCTTGTGGTGACTGAAACATTCAGGACCCTGAATGTGAGGTCCTTGCACGACTCACACAAGTGATAAAATTGCACAGAACTAAACACACAAATAACAGGATCTGGCAGACGGGTGGGTTGTCTTGGTGTTGATTTCTTGGCGTGACGCTGTACTCTGGTTCTACAAGTGTTGGGGCGGCTCTTAGGGCCGTTGCAAGAGCTGCCGGCCCATTCGAGGCTGGGTTTGCCCCCACTGGAGTGGTCTCACCCCCAACATGTGAGCTGTCACGAGGGGCCAAGAACAGGCCCAGGAGGACATGAGGCGACATGACCTCCGCTCAAGCTGCTTCCTGGCCTGTAACCTTCCTCGAGGTCATGTGAGCGGAATCATCTCACCGGATCCACAGCCACCGAGGCAGGTGCTGCCCTTTGCACCACTTACTAACCAATTAACATCCACGGCTGTTCCAGTAACTCCTACTAGATGTTGGCCTGGCTTGCAGAGAATGCAGAGGGAGCCCTGTGTCCCTGCGCTCACAGCACCCCCCACCACGTCTGACCTCACCATTTCTCTCCTCCTCACCGGTATAACTGGAAGTCCTCTTCTGAGAAGATATTTTGTACTTTATCCCCAAAGTACCTGTGAAAAAATAGAGTGTTAACAAATGTAACATTTTATTCATTTTTCCTTTAAATTCAGTCTCTCCTCCAGCTAACCAGCACTCCCTGAGTATCAATGTGTCCTCATCTGGAAGCTGCGCTGTTTCTACAATAAGGATATGATCAGAGGGAGGGAGGGAGGGAGGGTGGGAGCCCACCTGGCAGAGGGAGGTGGCGCTTCTCCAGGCTGGGAGGATCAGACTCTGCAGGCTCCGTGGCCACCCGCACCTTTAGGAGCCAGGCCTGCCTCTCGCTTCTCCCATCTCTTCCTCTGACCCCATTTCTCAGCCCTGGGCAGGTCTCAGTTTCCCAGGAAGCCCTCAGTGCAGCACCAGACCGTTCCCTAATGCGTGGTGAACAAGGATCCTGCCCCTCAGACAGGCCCCCAGAGAAAGCCACACCTCTGGTCCTCGCCTGGCTCGTGTCCCTGACAGCTAATGTCACAGTTTACCCAGGACTTGAAGCCACTCAGGCCCAATACACACAAACCTCACTCAGGCGTCCCCAGCTAAGAAATGCACGGAGACGTGAGGTCAGGCCGCACAGTCAGGGTCGCGGCCCCTCCGGGCTCTCACCTGTACAGGTTCACAAAGTGCCTCCCGACAGACAGGGCCCCCGAGTGCAAGTCCAGGATGGACGCCTGGAAGAGACATTTGTAGGGCAAAGGGTGAGGGCTGTGGCCGCGGTGAGCGGGCTTTAGGGCCCTGAAGTCAAGCACGAGTCACCAAGATCCATCCCACATACAGCCCAGGTCAGGGAGACAATGCACACTGCTGGATTTCAAGAAAAGTTGGACCCAGGTTGTGTGTAGGACGACCTCTTTCTCTGCTCCCTAAAGAGCAAAGACCAAACACTTTAGTCTAACGTCCTGAAAACGGGCCAAAGACAGCCCCTGCAGATACATCTGCAAACTCTCGCAGCTGAAGCGCATCCCTCCCTCCCCTCCCCTCTTCCTGCAGCCTTGCTGAAGTATAACCAACACACTATGATCTGCCGTGATTAAAGTGTTCAGTCTGGTAACTTCTGATGTCAGTGTACACCCGCGAAACACCATCGCCAGCAAGATGATACACATCCTTCACCCCAAGTTTCCCACCACCACTTCGTAGTCCTCCTCCTCTCTCCACTCACCCCTCTCATCCCCAGGCAACCACGGATGTGCTTTCTGCCCTACAAGATTGATGTACATTTTCTAGAGCTCTAGGTAAATGGAACCATGGGGGCCTGTATTCTTTTTTGGCCTGGCTCCTTTTCGCTCAGCATAACCACTTTGTGATTCACTCACGTGGCTGCAGGCATCGAGTGTCCGTTCTATCTTATTGCCAAGGAGCAATCATTTCGTTTGAATGTGCCACAACCTGTTGGTCCAGCTACCTGTGACGGACATGCAGGCTATTCTCAGTCTCAGGCTCTTACAAGTAAGGCTGCTGTGGACAAGTCTGTGTGGACAGACGCTTCATTCTCTCGGTGAACGTCTAGGGGTGGACTTGCTGGGTCATAACTTTTCAATAAACTGCCAAGTGTCTTCCACCCCCGAGCCCCCGCCTCTGTGGGTCCTTCCCCATGTCCTAGGAACTGCTGTCTTTCCTCGCTGATGCAGAGACCAGCCCAGCGGTTTGCTTGAACATAATTTGGGATAAAAAATGTTAACTGAGGGGCTGGACCAGTGGTGCAGTAGTTAAGTTCACACGTTCCGCTTTGGCGGCCCAGGGTTTGCCGGTTCAGATCCCAGGTGCGGACCTACACGCCACTTATCAAGCCATGCTGTGGCGGCATCCCACATATAAAGTAGAGGAAGATGGGTATGGATGTTAGCTCAGGGCCAGTCTTCTTCAGCAAAAAGGGGAGGATTGGCAGCAGATGTTAGCTCAGGCCTAATCTTCCTCAAAAAAAAAAAAGTTAACTGAATTTACAGGCATCAAACCTGGTTAATCCACCACAAGACAACTTCCTGAGTGAATGCTGAGCAAAGAGAAGACAAGTCCAGGCACAAACAGGTTTTTAATAGATATTCCCCCTGAACTGAACCAAACTGAAATAAAAGGAGGAGCTTAATTTTCAGAACTTAAAAGAGTTTGCAGAATAAAATTATGTGGATAATCATAGAAACACTTAAAAATTCTAGCAGAGTCTGTGAATTAATCTCCCTAGGGGTTTTGAAACACACGTGTAGACTGACTCGAGTCTGTGTTGTGACTGTAATTCAGCCATCACCAAACCTACATAGAGAGAGGCATCTTCCCACAGTTCCACACGCTGGGTCCATGTTCAGGGAGCCACACGAGAATTGGAGCTCACGTCAGGTGCCCTCGGGGCCAGGGCACCCAGAGGCTGCGCAGGAAGCAGGTGAGACGCAGGGCTGCACTGGCCCTGTCTCAGTTCCCTGCAGCTGCCGTAACTAATGGCCACAAACAGCAGGCTTCAAACAACAGGAATCTATCCTTTCACAGTCTGGAGGCCAGACATCCAAGATCCAGGGGTCAGCAGGGCCACACTCCCTCCAAAGGCTCCAGGGGAGGCTGCTTCCTTCCCTCTTCCGGCTTCTGGTGGCCCCAGATGTCCCTTGGTTCGTGGTCACATCCCTCCGTCTTCTGCCTCCATCTTGTGGCTTCTCCTCTCCGTATTTTCTCCTCTTCTGTCTCAAATCTCCCTCTGCCCTCCTCTTATAAGGACCCTCGTCCCTGGGTTTAGGGTCCACCCTGACAGCCCAAGATCATCTCATCTCAAGATCCTTAGCTTAATGACATTTGCAGACCTTTTTCCCAAGGAAGGGCCCACACACAGTTTCTGGTGGATGCATCTTTCAGGGGCCACCACTGGGTCCCGGCAGCCTCACACCTGGCGCCAGGGCCAGCACTGGGTCAGTGGGGCCCCCGCCGGGGAGGGTGAGGAGCTCCACCAAGCAGGTGTGTCTCATTTCCCTGCAGCCCACTGCCACTGGCCCTCCTCTTTCCAAGGCTGGTCATCCTCCTCATTCGGCTCCTAACTCGCCCTCCTCAGCTCCTGGCCTTTGACCTCCTCCGCCTGCCCCCACCCAGCCCAGTTGTCTAAAATGCGAACATGATCTGAAGCAGGCCAGCTGGGAACCCAGGAAGAGAGGGAACACCCTCCCTGCCACTGAACGTGGCTGCTGTGGTCGATGCTGGGGAGGATACAGGGCCTGTCCATGGTGGGGCTGGGGGCACCCTGCACATCAGCTGCCCTCTCCTTCCCCTTTCGGGAGAGCAAAGTCAAAGGGAAAAGAAAACTGAAGCAGATGGCACGTGACTCACCCCTCCATCGGATCCTCCCAGTGACAGCCCCTTCTCCGCTATGCTGTGGGGAAGATCATTTTAGGACAGAATTTAGTCAGTAGAATTACCTATGCTATATCTAGGCAAATTTCAATTAGCACGATTCACGCAATGTTAACAGATTACTTAATGTTTATGATATAAACACAGGTCTCAACTTTCAAAGCTAAGTGAGTAAATGCCAATATTTCATCACCATCTTGTTAACAACATGACACAGTTTAGGAACAACTGGGCTTAATTTCCATCTTTAGCATCGAGACCTGCGGCTGGATCGAATGGCTGAACTACTCCCAGTGGGTCCATTTGGGCTGACGGGCCCCTCTCCTGCTCATCACAGCCAGGGGACGGGGCGCTTGTCCTTGGTAATCACCAGCTTATGAGGTAGAGGCCGTGGTGGCCTGTGCCAGACCTGGCAGGACCATTGAGTCACTGAAGACGCAAGAGCTTCTAGCACCATTAACAGATGCTTTGAGGCAGCCCAGGAAACTGACTGGGGGATGGACCAATCCCTAACGCCAGTGGCCACCCCCCCCAGGGAGACTCTACAGTGTTATCTAGAGAGAGGAGGCCTGTCTCCCCACTGGGACCCTAGGCTCGACTCACAGGCAGAGGTGGACAGCAGCTCGAGGGCAGATGTGGCTCCACTTGGCGTATATTCCTAAACACAGTTTGTGTCTGAACAACTTGTCAGAAAGGCAAAGCTTTAAGGTCATGTTTTTGAAATCTCAATGAGGAAAAATCCAGTGCCCACTGCTTCCAAGCAGGACTCGCTGCTCTGTCATGAGTCACACTGGTTGGCTGAAGGGCTGACCCTAACCAGTTTGGAGAGGAGAAGGGGATATTACCTAGGGACTCCCTGCTGCTGCCAGTGTCCATAGGGCTCCCCCAATAGCTGAGGGGGCGGCATCTCACCAACCTCCTGTAGGGGTCACAATGGCTTCCCCTGGAGAAAGCCTGGGCTTCTGGAAGGTTCCATCAGCAACTATATCACTGGGGGCAACAGCCTTTCCTTCTAGAAATTGGAAAAGCCCACCTTTGCCCTTGGAAGCACACAGAGAAATTCTTACGGAATTCTAAATGAACTCCTTACATCTTTTTAGTAGCGATTCTCTGCTTTCTGCCCCACAGCCACCCTTTCCCACTTGCTTGAGACAGAAGCTCAGAGATGCGTCTCACCTGCGAATCCGCCGGGCTTCATCCCTGGTGATGACGGCGTCGGTGACACCCCGACCACACTTCCTAGGGGAGCAGCCTGGAAAGAGACGAGCCAGGATGAGACACTGACCCCACGCCGAATCCTGACAACAACGCATTTGTTGAGGACTTACCTGTGGGCGGCCCTCCCCAGGGACAGTAGAATTTTGTGGTTTGAGGCCTCGCCTTCCACAGGATTAAGGGCATCAGATTTGGCAAATAAAATCTAGGACACCTGGTTAGATGTGAATTTCAGATAAGCAACAGTGACTTTTCAGTATACATGCGTCCCATGAAGGGACATGTCAACATCTCACTGGGTGTGCCTCATGCTGGTGGCCTGCACCAGGCAGGTCTCTCAGGAAGTTCCTGGCACTCTATTCACCCCTGGGAAGACAGCTTGAGAGCCACCCCCGAGTGGCACCCATGGCACCATAGAACCATCACTGACCGCAGGTCCCGCATTCCTAAGCTCCTGTCAGAAAGTCCCTCCTGGAGGACCAAAGCTGCGCTCAGTTCTAGTCACTGGCCCTCCCCAGGTACCCCGGCAAATGCTGCTGCCAAAGGCATTCGTCAGGGTCTCCACCCCACACTCCCTCTAGCTCTCTGCACCCGGTACCTGCAGCTGCTCACAGAAAGGGTGGAGAAGCTCGGATGGTGATGGGGCCAGCATCGGGGTGCCCGGGGCCAGGGTCAGGTGGCTGTGGCTAGGGTCAGGTGGACAGGGCCAGGGTCGAGGTGGCTGGTGCAGGACGAGGCAGAGCATCAGAGATGGACGAGCTCAACAAGCTCCTCGTGCTTCGGCACAAAGGGCAGGCCGGCTCCCTCACACCAGGTACGTCAGCTGCCTCACAGGAGGTGCACCATGAGACACGTCTTGGCTGACGAGATGGAGCCTTGAGACACTCACAGGACATGCTGGGCTGGCTAACCTTTAGCTTTTCATCCTTTTTCCCTCTTCCTGCCTGGAACAAGAGCCCTGTACCTGGAGGTGGAGCAAGCGTCCTGGGACCACATGAGCCATGTGCTGAGAGGCTCAGGCCCGGGGGGCTCAGAGGGCTCCAGGCTGGCCTACGGTGCCTTCCTCTGGGCCTGGTCTTGTGGGAAAAATAAAGTTCTACTTGGGGGTCATCAGGGGAGGGCTGCCTCAGTTCCATGGGGCCAAACACAGTCCTATTGATATAGGCATTTTTATTAATAAACAAAAAGCCAGACATATGCTTTCTATCAGGGTTACTCCCTGAACATAATGACATAGATGGGTCGAAAGTAAAGGCAAATATGATAACCAAAGGAGGCTTGGGGAGCAATATGTCCATCCAACAAATGTGCTTTAAGACAAGAGTCACTAGACGGAAAGGAGGGCACCCAGTGACAACAGGGACAATGCACCAGGAAGGCAAGTGTGACACAGCCCCAAACAACATCATCTCAGACACAAGGCAGCCCAGGGAAAGACCAGCCAGGAGGAGCTGCCAGATCCACGACCATAGCAGAGCTTCTAACTTGCCTCTCCTGGTCACTGACGGACGAAGGGCACAGAGATCCATGAGGGCAGGGAGAGTTTGTGCACACGAGCTGGGATTAGGGGAAATATATGGAACTCTGCATGTGATTGTTAGAAAACACGTTTTTCCAGGTACACATGGAACATAAACAAAAACATACTAGGTCAAAAGGAAAGTCTGAACCAATATCAAAGGATCTATATCATACAGATTACATTATCCAGCTAAAACGCATTCAGGTTAGAAATCAATTTTAAGAAAGAGAGCGCCAAAACCCCACGGATTTTGAAATATCAAAATCCAGCAGCTACACAATGTGTTCAGTGTGAATAAGCATAAGAGCATAATCTGGGTGAAAAAGTTGACAATGTCAGTGCACACATGTGGGTGTAAATGCACGCAGTAACACACACCGACTAGACACACGCCCAGGGTGGGCTGAGCCTCTCAGCCTCACCAGGAGCCTGCTGCCCTAACTAGAAGCCCCTCCAGCATGACGGTCCCTTCCTTGCATCTCCCGCCTAGGTGAGGAGAGGGGGCAGGCAAGGGGGGCGTCCAGAGGCTTGAAAATACACTCCAGCTATTTTTTTGCATTGTGGTAAACATACATAATGCAAAATTTACTGTTTAACCATTTTTAAGTGTACAGCTCAGGGGCATTAACTACATTCACAGTGTTGTGTAAACATCACCACCACTCGTCTCCAGAGCTTCATCTTCCCAAACTGAAACCCGGTATCCATTAAACACTAACTCCCATTCCCCCCTCCCCCTCATTCCAACTGTTTTTATGTTGATAAAAATGTTGTTTTAATGTTATTAAATAGGTAGGAAGAAAATCTTCAGTCCTAACCACTGAAAAATATTTTCTTGAAAGCTGGGACATTAGAGGGAAAAAGTCAACAAAGACAGAGAGAGCATCCACACAACAGAACATGTTCCTTTTCCTGACCACTGACAGGGGAAATGACACCCCTATTCCTTCATCCCTGCCACGTGAACTACACTCCACCCCTGACCGTTAAACTCGCTGGTGCGCATCACACCGGCGCCCCTTGGTGGAAGGACTTGGCAATCTTTTCTTGGTTCAAGTCCAAAGCATTGCTCTGAATAAAAAAAATAAACTGAATTCTGTCTTTGAAACCCAGTCACTCAGGCTAGGTTTTTTAAACTGAGAGAGCATCCAGGCAGCAGGGAATGTGTACGAAAATACAGCAGCCAGAGGAGGGCAGAGGGCAGCAGGGTCTCCTGTGGCTTCAGCCTGAGCCAGCGGAATCAAGGAGGGGTGCACACTCTCCAGGGTGCTGAACCCCACTCATCCTGACACTGGCTCCGCCTCTGGCCTCCTCTGGGCACAACCCCCAAGGCCCTAACCCAGCCGCTGACCACTCCTTCCTCCTGCCCACATCAGGTGGGTGCCAAGATGGGACACAAGCCTTGTGGGGAGGGTGTCTGGTAGTAATGGTCCTTGCTGCAACATTTTCTGCAGTGACAACACTCTAGCACACTCTCTACAACTACTGCCTTTTCTGGTTTCATCTTTCTCATCCCGACCTTTCCAACTATATTACATCCCTCCAGGCAAACCATTTCTTCCATCAGACAGTGCCCACAATGTGGGACACGTCAGTGTAATGCCAGCCACACCTGGACAGTGACCTGTGGGCCTGGCCGTGTGCAGGACCTAAAACACCTGCACTTCCCAGCCCAGGTGTGGGCTAACCAATCTGGAGGGGGGGAAAGGTTGTTTGCTCCCTCCCCTGCCACATACACCCCACTTTCAACCTGACTCCCACTAATTCATTGTAGCAAAAGAGGGATGCATTTTGAATGCGAGGCATTTCATGCTAACGCACTGCCCTTTTCAGGATCACCACTGCACCTCGTACCTTCAAACCTTCGGTGACTGTCATAGTCCTCGGAGCAGGGCACCTCAATGAACCTGCCCAGTAGGACCTCGCTGCGGTGAGCCAGGACCTCAGTGACGCCATCATCGCCCCCTAGACTGCCCCAGAGTAAGAGCGCAGTGAGGGCAGCACAGGCCCCCAGGGCGGCGGCTCTCAGCCACTTCCTCTGCGTCTCCCTTGGTGCCCGGACATTCTTCATACTGAGAAGAGAAAACACAACCCGGTCACCCAAACACACCTGCGTATGCTGAAAAGTCTGACCACCACGACCAGAGACCACACCCACGCTTAGTTACAGCTAGCCTTAAACTGTTCCTACACTAACTGTTGTAGAGCCACTCCACGAGCACTCACCAGCCTGGGAGGACATCCAGGGCAACATGGCCCCCGCCCATCTGACCAGGCAGGGCTCACTGTGCCCCTCGGGGAACAAGATGAGCTGCCATAGCACAATCAGGAGGACCTTCAACTAGAATATACAACTACGTACTAGGGAGCTTTGGGGAGAAGGAAAAAAAAAAAAGAATTGGCAACAGATGTTAGTTCAGGCACCAATCTTAAAAAAAAAAAAGAGGAGCTGCCAGTCGGTGTCCTTCATGGCATAGTCAGACTATTTGGGGTGGATATATGATCATTTTAAATAGGGACCACAGATGCCCTGGGGGGGGGGGGTCTGCCCAGCTCAGAAAGATCCCCATACCTAGAACTGCTGTCCAGCCTCCAGCCCACCTGGCCTCCTCTGATTAGACCAGGGTGGACACCTGACTCCAGTGGGCTCGTCATTTCTCTTCCCTAAGAATTCTCAATCAGGGAGACTGCCAGCCCATGTCAGCAGCAGATGGCTGGAACCCTAACCTGCAAGTGCAGAGCTGTGGGCAACGCATTCTCCTTGAGACAGCCTGGCTGCTGAGACAGAAAGGGATGCAGAGCGGGGTGCAGAGAAACAAGAGATGAAGAAACAGTCTCCTGGGCCAGATCCAGATGCAACACTCCCCTCGGGTCTCCTCAAAATAAGCACCCCTTTTCAGGGCAAGCTGGCTCAAGCTGCACCCCGAAAATCTTGCAAAAACAGACAGGAGCTGCTTTCTAGCGCTGGGGCAAGGTCCGTGGCCAATGGGGCAAGCACCACCACCCGGTGATTTGTCCTGGAGTGATTCAAATACACCGGGCTCTGAAAGCTTTAGGCAAAATCCCCTCAAAGGCTATGTGATGACATGGTCACTTATTCATTCATGGGGCCATCAACCGTGAGCTCTCTTGTGCACAGAGCTAAGGAAAAGACACAGGGAGGAGATGATGGGGGCTCGAAGCCCCGTCCCCATGCAGGAGGCCGGCGTGGAGCCTTCTGTACGCATGGAGGAGGGGCTCGGGGAGGGTTTCCCCACCCGGAGTTCCGGGCCACCTGCTCCGAGCTGAGCTGAGCAGTACGTGCTCCCTACTCCTGGCACAGCCACGCGGACCAAGGACGCCGGCGTGGCGGGATTCTGTAGGCCACGCCCTCCCGGTGACCACAACCTTCTACGCAACCCAGTCGCCCAAGCACTGGTCCCGCCTGTCTTGGCTAGGCCACGCCCACGGGACAGCCGCGTCACCCAGACCACCCCCACCTCCACAAACCCCGCCCCCACCCCGGTAGGCCCCGCCCACCACGGTCAGGCCCCGCCCACACCACGGCCCCGCCCCACACGAAGGCCCCGCCCCCACGAAGGCCCCGCCCACCAAGCCCCGCCCGGCCCGCAGCAGCCCCGCCGGCCAAGGCCAGGCCCCGCCCACACTGCAGCCCCTGCCCTCCCCACGCCGCCCGGTACCTGTTCGGGCGCCGGCGCTCGGCCGCCCCGCTGCCTTCGGGCGCCTTGGGCGCGCCCCTCCGCTGAGGGGCCATCGGTCAGGCCGCCGCGCAGCCAGAGCGAACGCGGGAGACGCCCCGGGCCCAGGACGAACGCGGCGAGACGAAGCGCGAGGCCGGCCCGGCCGGGAACAGAGCGACGCGCTCGGCCGTCGACCCCGAGGCTGGCGCCGAGGCCCGAGCAATCGGAGGCCGAGCGCCGAGCAGGCAGGGCGGGGCGGACCTGGGCGCGGACCGCAACGCACCCCGCAGGGCCGGACTCCTCCCACCCTCCTTGGAGCCCGCCGCGCCGCGGAGCCGTCCGGCCGAAGTGCGTCCTCGCCCGCTGTGCGCGCGCTACTGGGGTCTCCAAATCCTCCTCCTCAGGTCTCCTCGTCACCCTCCCGGGGTCTCTCGTCCTCCTGGCGTCTCCACATCCTCCTCCTGGGGTCTCCACATCCTCCTCCCGGGGTCTCCACATCCTCCTCCCCCGGTCTCCCGTCCTCCTCCCGGGGTCTCCGAATCCTCCTCCTGGGGTCTCCGAATCCTCCTCCCGGGGTCTCCACGTCCTCTTCCCGGGGTCTCCACATCCTCCTCCCGGGGTCTCCGTCCTCCTCCCGGGGTCTCCAAATCTCCCTTCCAGGGCCTCCAAGACCCTCTCTGAAGGGTGTTCATGACCCTGTTTCCAGGGGTCCGTGCCACACCTGCAGGCGCTGGTACCCATTGGCGCTCAGTACACGTGTACCTTCTGGAGGCCCTGCTGCGTCTTTACAGCTTCCAGTATCCCTGCAGAACCTTCCTTCCAGTAGGTATGAAGTAAGGTCTTAACCCTGTCAGGATACCTAAGATTCTGAATAGCGGAGTTAGCAGTGAAGTTCATTCATGAGTATTGTGTCCGAAGAAGGTGCAGAATTTACTGATACTCAGGGAAAAGAAAACTCTCTTAGATTCATTGGACCATAAAAAAGAGATCTGTCCAACAGAAACATCATATCGTGGGACCTGACATTGGGAAAATAAGTGCAGATCAGACACCACTGAGGGGCTCTTGGTAACCCACCTAAAAACCCCGAGGAATCAGGGACAACTGGACATCTACTGTTAGTCTGATCAAGAATAGTGACGGGGCTGGCCCAGTGGCTTAGTGGTTACGTTCCCATGCTCTACTTCCATAGCCCGGGGTTCCCGGTTTGGATTCTGGACGTGGACCTACACAGTGCTCATCAAGACATGCTGTGGCAGCATCCCACTTACAAATGGAGGAAGATTGGCATGGATGTTAGCTCAGGGCCATCCTTCCTCACCAAAAAAAATAATAATAATAATAGCGGCAGTTGACCCGTCCTTTTTTTTTTTTTGAGGAAGATTGGCCCTGAGCCAACTGCTGCCAATCCTCCTCTTTTTCCTGAGGAAGACTGGCCCTGAGCTAACATCCATGCCCATGTTCCTCTACTTTTATATGGGGGATGCCTACCACAGCATGGCTTTTTGCCAAGCAGTGCCATGTCCGCACCCGGGATCGGAACCGGTAAACCCTGGGCCACCAAAGCGGAACATGCAAACTTAACTGCTGCGCCACGGGGCTAGCACCAACCCAAGTCTTTGAAATAATCTCACTTGTAAGACGTCATGCAGGAGGGAATCAAAGCAATTACACACTCATAACGAGATGGAATGCCGACTTCTCTCCTCCTTCTCCTGCAGATTTGGCAGAATCTTGTGTTGGGAAACAACTCTGTGTCTGTTGCAGGTAAGATGGCTATGTTCATTGTCACCCCAGTGTCACAGGAATGACAGGAGGATTTCTCTCAGAATAGAAGGAGCTGCACACGTGGCCAATGCAGATCTCTTGGCTTGAAATTTTTCTTTTAAATCTCTTCCCTGGAAAATAGATTTGGTTTGTAGGATTTTAAAACAGTTCAGCTTTAAAAGTATTGCAGTTTTTTGTGTTTTTTTTAAAGATTTTATTTTTTTCCTTTTTCTCCCCAAAGCCCCCCAGTACATAGTTGTATTTTCTTCGTTGTGGGTCCCTTCTAGTTGTGGCACGTGGGATGCTGCCTCAGTGTGGTTTGATGAGCAGTGCCATGTCCCCGCCCAGGATTCGAACCAATGAAACAGTGGGCCGCCTGCAGCGGAGCGTGCGAACTTAACCACTTGGCCAGGGGGCCAGCCCCAAGAGTATTGCAGTTATTCAGAATGCGTTTTCATAAAACTCATCCACCTCTCAGCTGGTACTGTACTTAATTGCTTTAAGAATTTTGTCATTGAGATTGTCTTGAATATAATCTATTTTTTAAAAAAATCAAACTGATTGGGGGCTGACCTAGTGGCACAGTGGTTAAGTTCGTGTGATTTGCTTCAGCAGCCTCGGGATCACAGGTTCAGATCCCGGGCTTGGACCTACACACCGCTTATCAAGCCATTCTGTGGCAGGCATCCCACGTATAAAATAGAGGCAGATTGGCACAGATGTTAGCTCAGGACCAATCTTCCTCAGCAAAAAGAGGAGGTTTGGTGGCAGATGTTAACTCAGGGCTAATCTTCCTCACCGAAGAAAAAAAATCAAACTGATTGGTTTCTGTGTGCATCTGTTTTATCTCCCATGCTGTGTTCTAGATTCCTTAAGGTCAAGGGTTATTACTCCTTGCCCGGAATGTGCAGTCTGCATTAGGGAGGTGAGTACATGACCCGCAGACACGGTTCTCTTTCCTTTTCCCATGTAGTCCGTTATGCTTTTCTAAGAGAAAAAAAATAAGATTTCACAATCTCCCAGCTGCCTCCTCATCATCCAGACACTTCCTTTAGTCTAATATGAACTAGTCAGCCTGGCATGCTTGTGGCTCATTTGCTTTTCAGATTATCAATGGCTTATTTTAAATCCTAGACAGTTTCTTGTCACCTGAGCAGTTTTTTGCAGTGTCTTCCTCCACACAACCAAGCTGACTTGAGCTCTAGAAATGTAAATTATTTTTAATGCTATCCAAAGTAAAATAAAATTGAGGATAAATTTTCAACAGAAACACCATATCGTGGGAGCTGAAAAGTGCTTAGCAATATCTGCTGACTGTTTCATGGGCGCAGTATGTATAGTTTCAGAGGATCTTTAAAATGGAATTATTTAGCAGTCATTCTTGTTATTACAGATCACAACCATCTTATAAGAAAACCAATGCTGTTCTGTTTTAGGGGCAAATCACAGCTAAATGGCAGAGGTCCCTCTATTTGAACGTGGAGCAAGGCATCTTGATCCATTTTCATGTTGGTGAAATGAGTTTCCTCCCGCTTAATTTCAGAACTGAGACAGAAAGTGGAAGGGTAAGGCCAGAAGGAGCCGTCGCTCGTTTGTAACTCTGCGTTTCTCCACCAGGAAGAAGTGCCCAGACAAGAGATTTTTGTTATACACCTTCACAAAAAACAGTGAAATGTCCGGTTCCTCACCGTTTAAGAGGCGATTAGTTCATTTGGACCTTAAAGGAGCTCCGCCAAAGGTCTCGTACCTCTCGGAGGTAAGAGCTCCCGTTGCCTCTCGAGACTCCCCTCTGCCTCGGGGTTGGCCTTTGACGTTGTGAACGATGTTCTGTAGAGATGTGTGCTTAGAGCACAGCCTCGGGTTCTGGGTTGGGGCACGATGGTGGCAGCAACACAGATTCTGAATTTCCCCCAAATCTCCTCACAAAACAGACAGAACAACCAGGATAGCCAAAGGGAAAACAGAAGGGGCAGAAGGCCACAACCTCTTCGCCGTGGGCTGAACTGTGTCCCCAGAGAGATGTTCAAATCCTAGTCCCTCAGACCTGCGAATGGGGCCTGATCCGGGTCTTTGTAGATGTCAGTGACGTAAGAGGAGGTCCTGCTGGAGTAGTGCAGGCCCTGTGCCCATGAGTGGCGCCTTTATAAGGAGGGGGAGATTGAGACCCGGAGACATGCCCAGAGGGAGAAGGATGTGAAGACTCACAGGGCGGACACCAGGTGAGGACAGACGCAGAGACTGGAAATGATGCATCCATGGGCCAAGGAGCATCAAGGATCACCGGCAGCCACCAGAAGCTGGGAGAGGCCGGGAGGGCTTCTCCCCTACAGGCTTCAGAGAAAGTACGGCCCTGCCGGCACCTTGATTTTGAACTGCTGGCCTCTAGAACTCTGAGAAAATAAGGCCTTAGTGTTTTAAGCCCCCCAGTTTGTGGTAATTTGTCATGGCAGTGCTCTTCAACAAAAGCAGGTATCAGGGTGTCCCTGTGAATTCCTAAGTGCGAGTGGGTGGGGCCAGAGCAGACAGCACAGCACCCGCTGGGGTCAGCAGCTAGCAGTAGGTGGTGGGGGAAAGAGAAAGGAATTCCGACTATTCTGACGACGATGGCCCCTCAGGTCAAGGTCTCCTGTCAGCGAGATGCTGGGAAGGTGTCAGTGGCTCCAAGTTGCGGAGGTGTGCAAAAAGCTTCAAAAGACAGTGCTGGGGAAGCCCGAGGTTCTCAGAAATACCTCCAGAAGGACAGAGCCCCACACTAAGGACTCACTGCTGGGAAAAGAATCCACCTTGAGCTGGGCAGGAATACCGAGGGTGAAGGAGGGAGAAGGTTCAGCTACAGGGGGAAGGGATCCAGAGGAGGCAGAGACGAAGTAGCTGCACAGAGTCCACAGCTGCTAATCCTGTCGTGACAATGGAGCAGGGAGCCTGGGCTGGCCCATCTCCATCCCAAACACCAGAACCTGTTCTTAAAAATGCAAGAAAACAGATCTCATTTGAGCAACAGAAAAGGATGGTGCTTAAATACCATACAGAGGCATTGTAAGAAAAAAGAGGATGATGATCTGAGTAGCATTCTGACAAGGAGGGTGTACCAGGAACATGTGACCACAGAGCAGATGAGCTGATATTTCCGTATTACCATAATACTTCAAAATGAGGTCAAAGATACTAAGAAAATGGTAGACGCTGTGAAAGAAGAGCATGAAACAGATGTGGAAAAGCCCAGAAACATGATAACCAGACAAAAGGAGGCTGTGAAAAGATTGCCCCAGGAATGAATGACAAAGAAAAAGAAAAAAGTCAGAAATGGAGACTAAATCAGAAGAACAAAAGTAAACAGACACCGTGGAAAACAGTATTGGGAAATAAATGACAGAAAAGGAAAAAAAAAAGTGAAGAAAGAAAAAGCACTGTGACAAATTGATAGAGAAGATGGGCAAAGATCCAACTGAGATGTCACTGGCGTTCCTGTGTCCGTTATCTGTTGCTGCAGATAATGGACAGACCACACCAAACCTAGAGGCTTAAGACAACCATTCATTATTCCTCCTGTTTCCGTGGGCTCTCTGGCTGCTTCTGCTGGTCTGACTTGGGCTTCCTCGGGTGGTTGCAGTCCCATGACAACTAGAAAGGCCTGGTGGTCCAAGATGGCCTTATCCCCATGTCTAGCATTTGTGCTGAGTGTCCGCTGGCACCTTGGTTCTCCTCTGCCTGGCCTCCTCTCCTCCAGGTGGGCTCTTGTCATCTCAGAAGCTGAGCCAGCTCTCTTTTCAGCGTGGCAGTCTCAGGGCTGCTGGGGGCCCAGAGTTACTCTTGATAAAGCAAGTGAAAGGTCAGCCCAGGTTCAAGGCTTGGAATAGACACCACCTCTTGATGGAAGATGCCCAATATTGTGTCCATGTTTTCAATGTTCAACAGTTCCCAAAGAAGAGACCCAAAGTAATGCTGCAGAACGGATGCTAAGAAACTACAATTCAAAGACACTGTCCTGAAATTAAAGACTACTCGACTCTGCATGTTGAAAAGTCATGCCGTGTACCTGGAGAACTTACCTAGAATGATATACACCAAGGTATCTTGTAGTAAATGTGTCAGACTCTAAAGAAAATGAAAATGAAAAAAAAATCTTTTGGGCACACAGGAAAAAGTGTGCCCAAATCATGTGTAAGGAAAGAAAATCAGATTGTCATCAGATATTTTGACAGCAACATTTTATGACAGAAGATAAAGGAGAAATATATTTAAGATACTCAAGAAAATATAATATGAATCAAGGATTTTGTATCCAGCCAAGTTGACCTTCAAGTATAAAAGCCACAGACCAACTATTATAAACATCCAAGAACTGAGTGAGTTTATTGAAGAACAGCCTGCAGCTGCAGCATTAGGACTGGAGTAACCCAATAACTGCTGAGAGGAAACTCTTCCTTAAAGAAGAATTCCGGCCAATATTCACAGAAGGGTTGGCATAATTGGAAAGTCACCACCTTGCTGTTTAATGCCAGCTAACTAATAACTATCAGTGGTTGTTAAAATCTTTAGGCAGAAGTTCAAGGGGTGGATCTCGCTGATGCCCCCTGAACCCAGTGATCAGCCCCAAATCACTCTGGTGGGACAGCCAATTTATGCCTTCTAGAACCACCTGTGAAACATTCTTACCACAAGAATGAAACCTGAACCAAATTGCACTTTCACATCTAACCACTAGCATGCACAAGAATGGGAATTAGGCACACACACTGAGGGACATCCTGAGATTACCATCCATCAATTCCAAAATTTAGAAAACCATACAAAACGAATGACCTTGTTTCTTCAACAAGTAAATTTCAAATAAAAAAAAAAGCAGAGAGGACTGTTGCAAATCGAAAGAACCTTCACAGATCCATTCAAAAAAGTGTATTGTATGGACCCTGTCTGGATTGGGTTCAAACACGCCATGTGTGAAAAGATTTTAGAAACAGGAAAATTTGAACATGGATGAGATTAAGGAATTACTTGGTTAGATGGGATAATGGTATTGTGGTTATGCTTTTTAAAATGTCTTAATCAGAGATATATAGGTGAAAAGATATGTCATCTGGGATTTGGTTTAAAATACTCCAGTCAAAAAAGAAAAGTGGGGTCTGGTCTGATGGCGCAGTGGTTAAGTTCGCACGTTCCACTTCTCGGTGGCCCGGGGTGCGCTGGTTCGGATCCCGAGTTCGAACATGGCACCACTTGGCAAAAGCCATGCTGTGGTAGGCGTCCCATATGTAAAGTAGAGGAAGCTGGGCATGGATGTTAGCTCAGGGCTAGACTTCCTCAGCAAAAAGAGGAGGATTGGCAGCAGTTAGCTCAGGGCTAAGCTTTCTCAAAAAAAAAAAAAAAAAAAAAGAAAGGTGGAAATTAGGTGAAATAAAATTGGCAAAATGTTGGCTGTCGTCAAATCTTGGTGAGAAATGCACAGGAGCTCATCAAATGATACCCCTGCGTTTGTGTACAGACGATTGTTACCAACCCTGAGGACAGAATGGCCCAGTAGGCCCACAGGTGGTCAGATGGTCGAGGCTGAAAAGGAAACCAGATGCAAAAATGCAAGGGAAAGAGGAAAACACCGTAACGGTGTGTTTTGTTTACCCACGTGTCTGACCGGGTTAGCCAGCTCCTTTCCACAGTCAGTCTGCCTCCTTCAGTAATGTGCAGTCAGTCAGTGATTACCCATTTTATGCATTATCCTCAGCTAATTTTCAATCCCAGGCAGATTTCCTCCTTCCGTCCAGCATGCTTCAGAATGTTCCCGTATCCTTGGGGAAAGAACGCTGGCAGCAACGTCGACGAGATGGTTCAATCATGTGAGCCTGCAGCAGCCCTTCGTGGAGATGGGTTGCAGTTTTACGCATCTGCAGGGAGTCACGCCCACAATGTGCTCTGCTTCACCCTGGTTTTGACGCTGGACTAGAAGGAATCTCAGCGCTGTGTCTAGTAGACACGGGGAGAACTGGGGGAGAAGCCCACGAGCAGCCCCCAGAGCTGCCGCTCCTCTGTTCCCTCTTCCACCTCCTTCATCGATGCCGCCTTCCAGGCACTCACTACCAGCCCTTCAGAGCTCTGTCGGTTCCCCTGTGCCCCCCAGTTCCCTGTGCTCTAGAAGGTTCCCCTGTGCTGCGTCGCAGCCGGACAAGGAGCTGCTCCTGAGTCTGGAGCAGGGCTGTCTGTCTCAGCACCCAGCCCGCCCTCCCCAGCTAAGCCACCATCAGTGCTGTTTAGAGAGAGCTCCAGTTTACAGCATGCAGTCCCCCCACCCCTCTGTGTCAAAAGTACACATTCCAGTTAAAAGTTTCCAGAAAAAATACAAATATCACCTACAATCCATGTCCATAAGCTAAAAAAAGGTCCACATGCTGCAAATATGTCACTTTTTGTTCAAATAGTCACTTCCTCCTGACATCCCTGTTTTCCCCCCAGATTTTTCCTCTGTTCCATGCCCTGGGTGCAAACGGCCTCCTCATTGAGTATGAAGACATGTTTCCCTACGAGGGCCACCTGAGGCTGCTGAGGGCCAAGCACGCATACAGGTACCCCCAGCACGGCGACACTGTGTGCAGCAAATGCAGAGTGGGCATGGGCGGTGGCCTGGAGATGCAAGGCGGGCAGCGAGGCTTTAACAACAGTGGGACAATCCTTTTCAGTGTTTTTAAATGCCTGTCTTTAATTACAAAAATAAAACACATTCACTGAGGAGAATTTGGAAATGTTTGAGAGAGAGTAAGCCTCAGCTGTGACCCCCCAGGAAAAGCTGGGACCTGTGTGTCCGTCGGCCAGTGTCCTCATCTGCAGGTGAAGCGCCTAGGGAGCACTGTGACAGGTGTCAACGCGGGGAAGGAGGGCTGCTCTTTACGGCCACAGGCGGGATCTCATCGGGAAAGTGAAGACTAAAGGGGAGAGGGTCAGAATCAATGAAATCAGATGTTGTGCTCATGGGCACACCCCACTTGCCTTCAAGGTTACAGTGTCCATGAAATCAGTAATAAACAATCCAAAAGAAAAACAGGCAAAGGACATTAAATAGCAGATCCCAAAAAGGAAATAAAAATACCAAGAAGCGTATGATGATAAAACAAATCAAAACAACAGTGAAATGCCATTTTAGCTACCAAATTGGTGAAGTTTTTTAAAAAATTATAGTGCTCTGTGTTCACGAGGGTGAGAAAGAGCAGACCTCCCGCTGGTGGAATGCAAAGCTGTGCAGCCCTTCTGGAGGGCGGTTTGGCTCTTTGTGTCAGAACTCCCCAAAATGTGCATGCCCCATGTACCTGGACGGGTAGGCGGGAAAGGTATGAACCAGAGTGCCCCTACCATGGGGAGATTGCCCATGGCTTTTGTCTTCTTCATACTGCTTTGTTTTCTTTCCTACAACGAACATGTTTTGTTCATTTGTTTTTTTAAGTGAAAAAGGTGCTGGGGTTCCTGTGAAGCTTGAAAAAGGTATATTTAGGGTAAAGACAGACCTTTATATAATCAATACTTATAGAACTGATTAAGTTAAGAGATGGTTCAAACACATACAGAAATTGAGATAAATTCGTAACTGACAACTCATGATGGAGTGGGACGTCAGCCCTTCCCAGGATGTCACCCTGATGGCGTGGGTAGCAGAGTGCTGGCCTGGAGGGACCTCGGGCATTTCTTCCCTCAGGCATGCTTACAGCAGCTACCTAAGAGGGTTTTATCCGTTCACACATGGGGATGCTAACTCCCACGGGGGTGAATTCATTCCACTGGGGTGAATTCACTCCACCGGAATCTTGAAACTCTTCTTTCTTCTATTAAAGGGATCACCAGCTTTTTCTATAAAGGGCCAGACAGTAGATATTTTAGACTGTGTGGCCTGTCTGGTCTCTCTTATAACTGTCTGTGGGGCAAAAGCAGCCACAGATTATCAGATGTAAATAAGTGAGTGGGGGGGTGTGCCAATAAAACTCTGTTTGCACTGAAATATGAATTTCATATAATTTTCACATGTCACAAAATATTCTTCTTTTGACTTTTCTCAACTATTTTATTTTAAAATGTAGAAACCATTCTTAGGTTGCGGGCTGTAGAAAAACAGGTGGGCAGATTTGCCCTCCAGCCCATCTGCCGACCCCTGCTCTGGAACATGATTCCTTGTGTGGCCCAGTTTCTTGTAAAGTGACTTCAGCCTCTTGTAAAGTTTGGGTTAGAATAGTGCGTAAAAAGTGAGTTGTTACTTGAGGACATAAAGGGCATTATTTCCCAAGTTCTAGAGCAGGAGCCTTCTCTGAAACCTTAAGAGCTTTTCAGTTAGTAGTTTCCCCGGGAGAGTCCTCCAGGAACCTGATGAGGAAGGATGGGGGAGAGAGGGCACGTGAGTGGGAGCTGGAGTGTGAACGAGAGCTGGCCTGAACCTCCCTGGCTGATCTTTGTCTCTAGCCCCTTTGAAATCAAAGAGATCCTGCACCTGGCCACGCTGAACAACCTAGAGGTCATTCCCTTGGTACAGACATTTGGACACATGGAGGTAAGTCAGAGGAACAGAAGTCACCTGATGCCCGGGGTGGGGCTCAGGTGCACAGGCAGTGGCCAGCCACAGGCAGGGAGCAGCTCAGGGCCGCGCGGAGAGGCTCTTGCTCCCAGAAGCCCCTGTCCTGTGAAAGCCTGAGAGCACAGAGCTCTAGGTCAAAGTGCCCTCTGTCCAAGGAAGGGAGGAAAAGAGCCGGAAGTGGGGGGGGTGACTCCCACGGAGCCCTGCAGGCTGGCTGTTTTCCTTTTTAACTTGTATTCATCGAAATATTATTGTGTGAGGTAAAATGCAACATTAAGAAAAGAAAACATGCTGTATGTTTTCTCTGTGTCCTTTTCTCACTTAATATTGGAAATATTTCCCCAAGCTCCTGTGTGATCTTCAAAAATATTCTCATGTCCGCATCAAACAGCAGGAAGCAGTGAGAGACAGCGCTGATCTCAGGCTGTCAGGTTCCATCCTTCCCTCTATCGAATGCACCCGTTAGCTCTAGGACGGTCCTCCCCCGAGTCTTCATTCACTGTCGGCATAAAGGAGTTGCCTTCACTTGGGGCACGCGTGCCTTCTCGTGCTTTGTGCTCGTGTTCTGGGTGCCTTCTGGGACTCCCTCCCATAATCAGTCCCCCGCTTGCCTGGTTGACTCTCCCTGCTGTGCTCTCTGGGCTTGTCACTTTCCATCACCGGGGACCACACACCCGACAAAGCACCTCCCCAGGCCAGCGGTGTCCTCTGAGTCACTAATTCCACTAACAGTTTCAGTCCTCTCTTGACTCTCACTGGCTTTTGGCATTGCCAACACGCTCTCCATCTGGCCACGCCCGAGCCCTCTGTTCACTGTGTGCGGTCCCGTAGCTGCCACTGGACTTAGCAGTCCTCATGGCTCCTCTCGAGGCCACTTTTTTCCCATTTCACACTCTTTCTCTGGACAAAGCCAATTCCGCCCCTGCTTCCCCTTCCTGTCCTCAGTGACTGCCAGACCCCCATCTCCAGCTGCATTGAGAGGCCCCTTCCAGCTTCAGGGAGGGGCTGCACTGTCCCCAGCACCCCATGCCCACTGCATTGCCAGTCCATCATCAGGCCCGGCTGGCTGCCGTTGCTCCTCTGTGTCTTGAGTCAGCACTGCTTCCATCCTGCTGTCACCCTCCTTGTCTACACTGCTGCCTGACCTATAGAAAACCCTCCTGACAGGTCTCCCAGCGTCACCCTGTCCCCTCCACTCCTTCTCCCCACCACAGGCAGGCTGATCTCCCAGCACAGCCTGCTCAGACCACACTCCGCCTCCTTAAGTGCCTCACTCTGCTCTTGGGGTGGATTTGTTTCCTGGGTCTGCCATCGTAAAGGGCCACGAAAGGTGGCTTAAAACGACAGAAATTTATTCTCACAGTTCTAGAGGCCAGAAGTCCAAAACTGAGGTGTCCTTGGGGTGGTTCCTTCTGTAGGAAGCCCTTTACATGCGTTCATTTGCCATCAGTACATCCCTTTTGGTGAAATAACTTCAAATTTTTGCCCATTTCACTTTCTGAACTGTTGAGTTTTTAAAGTTCTCTGTATATTCTGGATACAAGTCTCTTGTTAGATATGTGGTTTGCAAATATTTCCTCCCAGCCTGTACTTTGTCTTTTCATTCTCTTAGTGTATTTCAAAGAGCAAAAGCCTTTAATTTTGAGAAGTTTTCTCTGTGATGAACCATGCTTTTGGTGTCATTTTTTAAGGAACTTTGCCAGTCACCAGGTCACGAAGACCTTTCTTGTTTTCTTCTAAAGTTTGCCACTTGCGCATTGTCCATTTAGACTTGGGATCCATTTTGAGTTAATTTTTGTGTGGGGTTTAGGTTGAGGTTCGTTGTTTTTGCACATGGCATGTAGCCACTTGAGATGACCAGCGGTGCCAGCGCCACGTGTGGGAAAGACAGTCCTTTCTTTGAAACTTGGGATCTGGACTTGCCTTTGCACCTTTGTCAGAGATCACTTGACTGTGTTTGTGAGGGTCTCCTTCTAGACTCTGTTCTGTCCGGTTGTCTGTGCGTTTGTCCTTCTGTTGATACCACATTTTCCTGATTACTATAGCTTTATTCCGAGTCTTAAAACCAGGTAGTGAGATTCGTCCACCTCTGTTCTTTTTCAGACCTGTTTTGGCTCCTCTAGTTCCTTTGCCTCTCCATGTATATTTTAGAATCAGTTTGTCTGTGTATCTACAAGAGCCCTTGCTGGGATTTTGACTGGAGCTGTGTTAAATCTGTAAATCAACTTGGGGGGATAATTACCTCTTTACTATGTTGAGTTTTCCAATCCATGAACATCGTATGTCAGCCATTAATTGTGTTGTTCTCCCAAATGTGTTATTTTTTTCCTTGATACTTTCAAGATTTTCGTTTGCGTCTGCCTTTTAGTGGTTTGGTAACGATGTGTCTAGGCCTGGGTTTCTTTGCATTTCTCCTGCTTGGGTCTGCGGAGCTCCTTGGATCTGTAGGTTTTTGTTTCCTTCACTCCTGTGAAGGTTTGGGCCATTTCTTCAAGTGTGTTCTCGGTCCCTTTCTCTGTCTCCTTTCTTCTGGGACTCCCTTTGCACATATGTTGGTTCACTGGGTGTTGCCCCCGGGTCTCTCAGGCTCTGTTCATATCCTTCCACCTTTTCTCTCTGTCATTCAGATTGAATTATTTCTGTTGATCTACTGTCCTGATCACTAACTCTTTCTTCTGACATTTCAAATTGGCTGCTGGGGGCCAGCCCTGTGGCTGAGTGGTTAAGTTTGTGCACTCCACTTCAGCAGCCCAGGGTTTGCCAGTTCGGATCCTGGGCACAGACCTACACGCCACTTATCAAGCCATGCTATGGCGGCACCCCACACAGAAGAACTAGAATGATGTTACAACTAGGACATAGAACTATGTACTAGGGGTTTGGGGAGAAAAAAAAAAGAGGAAGGTTGACAACAGATGTTAGCTCAGGGCCAATGTTCCTCACCAAAAAAAGCAGCATACCTTCAAATTGGCTGCTGAGCCCATGAAATGGAATTGTCATTTCCATTATTATAGAGCTTCCTTGAATTCTGGGGACATATTCATAATAGTTCCTTTGCAATAATTTTTCTGATAAATCCAACGCCTGGGCCCACTCAGCATCAGTTTCTATTGACTCGTTTGTTCCCTGAGTCTGGGCTCCACTTTCCAGTTTATTTGCACATCTCATAATTTTTGGTTGAAAACTGGACATTTCAGATAATATGTTGTATCAAAGCTGACCTTTTCCCCTGCAGCTGGTTGTAAGTTGCCTGGATTTAATTGTCAGGGTCAGGATTTAATCTGCTGGTGGTCAGCCGGGGTGTAGGCGAGGTTGTCCTTGAGCCTGTAAGGCTCCACCTTGTGCCGCCGGGGCCAAGGGCACTCAGAGTTCAGCCAGTTCTCAGTCTGTGGCTGCTCTCCACCCAGCGCTCTCAGGTCCCCCGCATGTCGCTCCCAGTCGGCTGGGATGTGAGGAGGGCAGGTGTCGCCTCTGAAGCACTCTCATTTCCAGGGTCACCTGTTACATTTCTGTTCTAGGGGCAGCTCACCCCATGGGGACCGCAGAGTTCAGGCAAGGCTGTTGCTCTTACTAATGGCCCCCAGGGGCGGGTTCACCCACAGCTAGCCCTGAGCGGGGAGGAGAGCACCCAGGCAAGAAGCACCTCTCTTCTTTTTTTAAAAAAAATTTTTTATTGAGTTAATGATAGGTTACAATCTTGTGAAATTTCAGTTGTATATTATTGTCTGTCAGTCGTGTTGTAGGTGCAACCCTTCACCCTTTGTGCCCACCCCCCACCCCCCCTTTCCCCTGGTAGCCACTGATCTGTTCTTTTTGTCCACAGGTTTAAATTCCTCATATAAGTGGAGTGATACAGAGATTGTCCTTCTCTATCTGGCTTATTTCACTTAACATAATTCCCTCAAGGTCCATCCATGTTGTTGCAAATGGAATGACTTTGTTCTGTTTTGCAGCTGAGTAGTATTCCATTGTATATATGTACCACATCTTCTTTATCCAATCATCTGTTGATGGGAGCTTAGGTTGCTTCCATGTCTTGGCTATTGTAAATAATGCTGCAATAAACATTGGAGTGCATGGGACTTTTGGAATTGCTGACTTCAAGCTCTCTGGATAGATACCCAGTAGTGGAATAGTGGAATGGCTGGATCGTATGGTAGTTCTATTTTTAATCTTTTGAGGAATCTCCATACTGTTTTCCATAGTGGCTGCACCAGTTTGCATTCCCACCAGCAGTGTATGAGAGTTCTTTTTTCTCCACAACCTCTCCAACATTTGTTATTATTTGTTTTAGTTATTTTTGTCATTCTCATGGGTGTAAGGTGATATCTTAGTGTAGTTTTGATTTGCGTTTCCCTGATGATCAGCGATGATGAACATCTTTTCATGTGCCTATTGGCCATCTGTATATCTTCTTTGGAGAAATGTCTGTTCATGTCTCCAGCCCAATTTTTGATCGAGTTGTTTGATTTTTTTTGTTGTTGAGTTGTGTGAGTTCTTTATATATTATGGATATTAAACCTTTGTGAGATGTATTACTTGCAAGTATTTTTTCACAGTTATTGGGTTGTTTTTTTGTTTCAATCCTGTTTTCCTTTGCCTTGAAGAAGCTCTTTAGTCTGATAAAGTCCCATTTGTTTATTCTTTCTATTGTTTCCCTTGTCTGAGAAGACATGGTGTCCGAAAAGATCCTTTTAATACTGATGTCTAAGAGTGTACTGCCTACATTTTCTTCTAGAAGCCTTATGGTTTCAGGTCTCAGCTTTAGGTCTTTGATCCATTTTGAGTTTATTTTGGTGAATGGTGAAAAAGAATGGTCAATTTTCATTCTTTTACATGTGGCTGTCCAGTTTTCCCAGTACCATTTGTTGAAGAGACTTTCTTTTCTCTGTTGTAGGCCCTCAACTCCTTTGTCGAAGATTAGTTGTCCATAGATGTGTGGTTTTATTTCTGGGCTTTCAATTCTGTTCCATTGA